TTTTGTTTTGTTTTTTAAAGCTAGATTGAAGTATCTAACAAATGTCCTAATAAATGGAGAAAAACAACCAACCATTTGGATGCTGTGTCTTCAGGATTCAGAGCATGCAGTCAGGTTGAATGACCAATTTTTACATTTTCTCCTTTCCCCAAACATTTTCTTTTCTTTCCTTTTTAAAAAAAATATTTTATTGATTTTTTACAGAGAGGAAGGTAGAGGGATAGAGAGCTAGAAACATTGATAAGAGAGGAACATAGACCAGCTGCCTCCTGCACACTCCCCACTGGGGATGTGCCAGCAACCAATGTACATGCCCTTGACCCAAATCAAACCTGGGACCTTTCAGTCTGCAGGCCAACGCTCTACCCACTGAGCCAAACCGGTTTAGGCCCAAACATTTTCTTAAAATTTACAATCATGTGCATAAGGATGAACTGATACATTCTATTGGATTGAAATATAATCAAATGAAAGGAGAGATAATGTCTGAAAACATTTTATAAATTATAAACAACCATATAGATATAAGGCATTGTTTTTAATTAATATTCTCTAAGTAGTAAGAACTTTAAGTAATAAAAGAAGAAAGATGGCACTTATATTGGGCAGTTCCTACGAGATTTTATTCCTTTCTTCTATCCTTACCCCATGAAAATAGGGAATAGGAAAGATGCTGAAGAGTGTGAGGCTCTTCCTGCCTTGGAGGGCCCCTAAATTTTCATAACAACAATTTTGGGAACATAGCTTCTTTGTGCTGCGTTCATTGAGCAATTTTTGAGCCTAGTGGTTCAAAGCCTGAGATTTAGAAGCAAGGAGAACAGAATTTGTCTCATCACAAGTGAGATCTAGGGCAAGCTGTTTAACCCTCTACCCATATCTCCTCACCTGTTAAATGTAGTAGTTATTATTTATCCTCTGGAGGGTGCTGGGCTAGTGCTCTCTTCTGCTATTGCTAACTCGTCAGTATTCAAGTGGTCCTGTGAAATACCCTTAGCACCTTGGCAGCACAAAGAATCCCTTTAATGACCACATTGTTTTTAAAAATAGAGCAAATCATAGCCCAGTAGAAGGAGTATGATGTAAAGTAAGCAAATCTGTAGAACTTGTCCCTTGAAAGTACTCACAAAAGACCTCAGTGTTCTGGGAATTCCCTAAATCTGTCACTGTGGCCATGCATCCCCTCTACCAGTGTCTTTTTCCAGTTCCCAGAGCCTAGGCTCCTGACCTCTCATCTTCTCATCATTCTGTCTGTGTTCTGAACTCATGCAGAATAACTGCAGCTTTAAAACCATGCCTCCCACAATTACGGTTACTCCTGGGCACACTTGACATGCTCATGGTCCCCTCGCACTCTTAAGGGCTTCTAATGGAAGGAAATGGGTCAACTCTAACTCTACTTCATCCTCTTGAGAGTCCCCCTCCTCACTCAGAACTCTTTATATGGTCCGTCTGAGGTCCTTGCTTTTGGATTACTTCACTCATATCTCAGCTGCCCCAGAAACTAAGTGAACAGTTTCTCTATAACCATATGACTCTGGGTGACTCTGGGTTTTTGTTTTTTTTGTTTTTTAAAGAAAGAAGGCATGCTCTAAGATAACAAGTAGTCTTGATTGTGCAGCTAAGTTTAAATTACCATCCATTTAAATGCAAATGTTTCTGGAAAAATGATAGGCAGATAGCTAGGCAGACAGAAAGAATAGATACTATAGATCTAGATCCAAAGCTGTACAGATGTGGACATATGGCTGTATGTCCTAAGTATACAGTAGTTAACGCTAAAGAAAGAGTTTAGATTTTCTCCTCTCTTACTAGTTAGGGGCTCGGTCAGGGTGAAGAAGGCTGCTATGTGGCTCAAGCGAGGGCCATAAGAGCCTCTTCAGCATAGTGCTAGGTAGTCCTCTGAATGTCGGCACAGAAATGTAATTTTTGCAGCCCAAGCATTTCTTTAGACTCACAAGAAACTGGGTTTACTGCTCAGATTGTTAGCATATTACTCTAATTGTAGAGAAATCCAAAAATGAAGATCGATTGGCCACATGCATATGTAGACAGTGCATGGTGCAAACTCTGCCAAAAGAATATTTGCCAAAAAATATTTGCACCAAGCCAGTGTAGCCTGGTGTAAATTACCTTTTCTAAGGATATTTATATGTCCAGGACACTTTGTCTCAACATGGGGCAACTCTGATGGGTCATTTTCTCTTCAGGACACGCTGTGTGGTCAGTTAAAGGTATTGTTGAGGCTGCATCAGAACTCCACGTTTCCCTCTGCTCCATCTGGCTCCATGTACACAGAGCTGGCCCCTACATTCAGGGTGGGGAAAAGCAGGTTGTAAGTATGGGAAACACAGAGTTTATTCTTATATTATATGTGCTAATTATTGTATTATTTTCCACATGAACAACTGAAAACATACTTTTTGCCCCCCCTCCCCCAATATTCCATTTGGTTTTTTCATATATCCATTTTTGTTGCTGTATTAAATACCTGCCCATTACTTTTCCCTTTTCTCTAATGCTTGTTCATTTTTAAAACTGTCTCTATTACAATAAGAAACACCCAAATTCATCATTTACCAATGTGGATGTGTCCACAGGTTTCTTCATGGAGTTTTGGAATCGATCCTGGTTGTCTTCCTCATTGTGAGTAGTGGAACTACTTCAATATTTTCATTTTACAGCCTTGGACTTAGAACCTATTAATCTTGGTATGCAAATCTGAGCAAAAACATTTGTGTATTTGTCATTTACATTAGAAAATGAGAGTGCATTGAAGGTAGGCCGTGGCAATGATAGCCATAAAGAAGAAAATAATCCATATGTCAATGGAACAGAAAGATTCTGAAAACAAAAGGAAGCCAAGGTATTTACCCAAGGTCAGGAAGCACATTTGTTGTGGAGCTGAGACTAGAATGCCACCTAACTCCTTGGCCAGTGTCCTCTGCAATAGATCTCTCTGGTCAATATTTCTTACTTTGCCACGAAGGACAGTAGATGAGCCTCTTTAATGTAACAAATGAAAGTCCTGGTGCCTTGGCAGGTTACTTGAATTTATTTCTATCCTTATAGCCTCCTTTTCAATCCACTCTCAGGAGTAATTCAATCTTTAAGGTTTTGCTATTTTTAAAAGGTAATATAAATTTTTGGAGTTAAAGAGAAATAACAGGTAGACCTCATTCTATATATTAGTTACATGTATGAAATTTTATGTAATTTCTATCATACCACCAAGGCACAGTTCTAATACTACATAATTCTTGTTTTTCTTTCTTCCAGACACCCAACTTAATTATTCTCTTTCATTATTCCATAATTGTTATGTTTTGGTTTTTTTAGTTATCTTTGCATGTATCAGGTTTCTTTAAATAAAGGTGTTCTTAATGCATATTTGATTCTGTAGTCCTTAGTAGTTTCCTGGCATAAATGTAATAAATGCTAAGAGAAAAATGTTTACATGCACATTTAATATTTTTGTTCTAGTTTCCATTATTTTTCTAAGAAGGATGTTACCATAGCAGGGAGGAATGGAAACCCAATGATGCAGCACATAATAAACATCACATTTAAGAGCTTTTCCAGTGCTCACTCTACATGGCATTTCATTTCTTGTAATTGTGTGGTAGGGAAGGAAAAATCCCTTGGCTCTGCCCATTGTAAAGGGGAAGGGGTGGGAAGGGAGCGGAATAGAAGGAGGGAGAAGTCTCTATTCCTTGATTATTCCTTTATAACAGATGGGGTAGGATAGAATCCAAAATTTATTTGCTACCCATTGTAAACAAAATGAAGTTTACAATCAGAAGCTTCTGAGAGCACCAGAAGGCTGTGGGCCTGATTACCTGGCAGGCCCATCTTTGCAAAGTTTATGCCAATGTGTATTTGAGCAGGTAGAGAGTGAGCAGCCCAGCAGGCCAGCCAGACCATTCTCTCATTTAACAGAAAGTGAGGCAACAGTTTGAAGTCATTAAGAGTTTCGGTAAACCCTACCCCAATCATCCTAGTAAAATTCCCCTCAAATCAGTTACAGCCCCTAAAGTTTATACCAACAGGTCAAGATAACAGTTATTAAATGTCTCTCTGATATTTCCCATAGAATTTTATAATGTTGTCTGCTCTCTATGAATATCTTTGAAAACTATCATTATAGAGCCTAAATTTATTTTTTTGCAGTGGTAACCCACATTGAAAAATATTTTCAGAAACCAAGGTTTAATAATTTCTTATACTGGTATCTGTTGATCTCTTGAGTTCAGGATACATATTCTCCAAAGAATATATTTTTTATTTTTTACCAATAAAAGTATCATCTCCATAATGCTGCAGCTAATGTAAAATTAAGTTGCTCATGAAGGCTCATTTCTTAACTGTTACTGCCTATTACCATATTAGCCTAGATCAGCAATTTCATTGCTTTTTCATCTCATGGCACTCATAAACTAATTCCTAAAATTCTGCTGCACACTAAAAAGTACATTTTTTTTTGCAGATATGGCAAAAAAGATATAATTTTTATTCATCCATACTAAACAGCTATTGTTGTGTTGGCTAGTGTCATTTTTTGACAACCAAAGGGAAAAGAGGGCAGTGCCCCTGACTAAATAGTCAGGTATTGCATGTTTTAAAAATTCTTAAAGCACATCAGTGTACCACAGTGCACCCATTGAAAATCACTTCCCTAGATGAAAGGTCAGCAAATTATTGTTCATGGATGATGTCCTAGCCAAGGCCTGTATTTGTAAACAAAATTTTATTGGAAACAACTATTACCATTCATTTATTTATCATCTGTGGCTAAGTTCAAGTCCCAGTAGCAGAGCTGAGCTGGTTTTCATTGTAATTAGAGCTGAGTAATTGCAATGAAAACCATTAAGCCCAGGATGGAAAGCCTTTAGAATAGGTATTCATGGATTTTTTTTTCTGATACTTGGTGAAAAATTGAAGAAAAAACAAACAAACAAACAAAACAAAACAAAAAACAAAAAAAACACTATTATTTATTTTTCTGAGAAGAAAAAATTGTCATTAGCAAATGTATTTAGATATTTGCACATGACTATATTTCTTTTTACCAAGTTTTATGTCAGGCTCTGCTGCATCCCCAAATTCTTCATTTGACTTCCTGCACACAAGGAAAATTGTGTTAAATAACTTCCTCAAGAATACATCTTATATATTACACATGAGTATACCTAAAACACACATCAGAACCATATCCCTCAAATGAAAGTCTCCGCTAGTTAAATGAAACTCTATTTTAAAATGTTTTGAAGAATGTGTCACATCATATGCCACAAAACAGGAGATAAACCAGATCCGAAGGGATCTCCCACACCTGTCCCTCTTGGCTTCTCAGAAGTATGGTACCCTGCAACCTTGATTGACACATTCACAGATGACAATAGGGAATTACCAAGGGGAATGCAGCGATGTCTGGCATCATAGCATGTGTTGTTTCCAACTGCTGACAAATATCCTGCAGGGGTTTAGATATCGGGACTTCAATATGAAAGTTGAAGTGTGTGAGCATACAGCTCCGAAAAGAAAAAGAGTAGTTTCCCGATGTCCTTCAAAGCAATCCCCGAATGTCCGAGTGTCGGCCTACAAAAGGGAAATAAGAGAAATGCAGTCAGTGGGCTCTTAGATGCCAGTCACCCTATTGAGTGTTGCAGAAGACCAAAAAAACCAAGGACACTGTTTAAATACACTGGCGGACTCAGGGAACAGTCTTCCAAATCTGAGTGAAGGAACATGCATGGGGCCCTCCATTATATCTCCCTCCCTATGGTCTTTGTCCCACAAACATGGATTATGTTTCCAGTCCTTTTTGTGGGCCTTGCAAGAAGGCCCCCAGGTGTTGGGGATCTTCAGGCCATATCTGATGGTCTGGCCTGGTGTAGGCGTTATTAACCCTCTCTCCGGGGCAGTGCACTGTTCACAGGAACATGTTCTGCAAGACCAATATCTAGGAAGGAGAAAAAGACTTAATTATAGGTTATCAGGAATGTACAACGAGCTTGCTGGCTTGGATTTAGGTCACTAGCCTCCAGATATGAGGGTTACATTGGAATTACCCCTTTTAGCCTCCTCAAGAGGAAGGGGCCACTGCCCAGGTGACTCAGACCTCACTCGTGCTGTCAGAGTTAAATCAATACAGATCTCAGGTTCCCGAGGCTCCATGTGACGTAAAAAGCGAGGGATTCTGTATAGGTTCTTCATTTGAACTCACTTCTCCTGAGCAGAAGGCATTTACCTGAGAGACTCGGAGAATGGATCTCCCTGGATTCTAGTTCTAAATTTGACGTATAAAAAAAAATTCCAGGAGTTTTCAGTAGATACTACTTTTCCTTATAGTTTGCAGTTGGAGCGGGGTTACAAAACATTGTACAGGAGGTCAAGATAAATAGTTATTGGGATCATAAAGGAATAATGGCAGAGGGGTTGTAAATGCAAATGAGTGTGGAAATAAAGGCTCTGTGCCTATCTAATAAGGCTGAAACTGATAGGTTGCTTAAACGTGTCAACCGAGCCAGTATATCAGAAAGACAAATCCTGACCTGTTCTGTGGTATGACTGCAAGATGGGCACACGGGGCCAGAGTCATAACATTAAACTATCACAATGATAAATAATGGCAAGGATGTTGTGCTACTGCGCAGCTTCCTGTTCGTTCTAAATGTGAAATAAGCGGTAATCCCGATGATGAAACACCATTCCGGTGAAGTGGTCAGCAGCGTGTATCCTCGCTGGGTTAGAATAATGAGAGCACTTCAAGGCAATTTACTTCCTTTTTAAGAGAAAGAAAAGAACTCTTTATCTTAAATATGAAGTTTATGGATTTTTTTTAATCCCCTGAAATTATCTAGGTAAAACCTTATTGTGGGGATCAGGGTAATGATAGTCAGGGTAATGATAAAAGATGCCATAGGAACTCTTCTTCACCTGCCGGTTACACCGTAGAAGGAATAAAACATAAAACACAATGCTGTGCTGGGGGCGGGTGCTCAGAGATCATTCAACTGAGCCAAAAAATTAAGTGGCTTCTCAAAGTTAACATAGACGGCAGAGTAATAGGATACAGCTCTTTAAAAAAATATATGTAACATGTCAGGTCATGGACAGGAATCAAGAGAGAACCATAGAATATCATCACTTAAGTTTTCTTCCCTACCACTTTAGCCAAAAAGTCTAAGAACAAAAGATTCCTCGCCTCCCCAACTCCCTTCTCTTCTTGGAAGAGCTTCCAAACAGTGGCTACCGTTTTTTACGTATAGGGATGAGCAATGAGGTTGGGAAATGCGTCTGAAAGCTCCAGGAAAGTAAACGAGGCAAGGTGTAAGCAAAATCATCATTGGTGGTTATAAAATGTATCATTGGGAACAATGATCCTCTCCTTCGAAGACATAAATAGGAAATTGCAAAACCTGCACAGAAGCCATCTACACCTGATTGGCGGACTTTGTCAGCAGCCAATGGAAAAAAAAATACAATCCAACAGTCTTTTTAGAATTGCTTGCAGTGGATAAAGCTGCACCCCAAGCTAATTGTCAGTATAATTGGAGAGGAAATGAGAGCTGCTAAAAAAAGAAGACTGCCCCAAAGAGAGAGCGAGACTCCAGGGGTGGGCTGGCTGGCTGACTTCATTAACAAAATAGTCCATATGTTGTTTAAAAGTGGAACTCGTGTCAAAGGTTCTATTTTGATATTTTACCAGGTCAACAGCATCGACCACAGAATTCCCCTCTCCTCCACAATATTCACACCTATTAGACTATGTGCTTCAAGAGACCCTATCCTATACAGCCTCGAGCCTTGCACATAATGCACTCATGAAATGTTTAGTGATATTAAGGAAGATGAGAGGGAGGGAGTGGATGGGTAAATAAATAAGGAAGTAAACACTGAACTAACATGAAATTAATGGCTAGAGAAAAATCATTTATATTAACAAATATCAGAGCTTCATTTTGAGACTCTGGACTGTACGATCATTTGTAACAGGGATATTGCATGTGGTATATAAAAATACATTCATTGTGTCTAGAGTCTAGACGAAGAAAACAAAGCTTAGAAAGCTGTATCTATCATTGCTGTCAGTGCAGAAAGTGCCTGGAGCAAAACTGAATGAGAATTTTCACAAACACTCATCATGAAAAATTTGGTTCCCATGACTAACTTGTCTCAGCAGTCAGATCACTGCCCTTGATTTCTGAAGGAGAAGTCAGGCACCAAGCTCTGTATGGGGCACTGCCCAGCTCAGATAATGATCAGCCACCCTGCCCATACATTCCCATTCATTTCAGGTTTTTGTTTGTTTTACAAAGCCTTTTGCTCCTTGGGTAGTCTGGCTTCTCATCAGATACAGTGCTGATGTTTTTGTCCAAAATATTGTATAACAGTCTCCCATGATATTTCTGTGTAGCAATTTGCATTTCTCAGCCTGAGAGTTGTCTGATTCTTTTTCTTTGTTTCTTTCTTTGTTTTTATTGTCAACAAAAGTAACAACACAATCTGGGAAGCCTCTTTAAAAAGCCACAGAGATATTAGCATTCTACTTTAGAGAACACACAGGTGATCGAATATACTTTTCTATGCAACTGGGAACAGCACTGAGTAGATTGAGAAATCTATACCTGAAGCTGCCATCTAATGGCTTTCAGCCTTGAGTGAGGACTTGGTATTTTCTTCATTCTAGATGAGAGGCCCAGTGCACAAAAATGTGTGCACTCAGGGAGTCCCTCAGCCCAGCCTGTGTCCTCTTCCAGTCTGGGACCCCTCAGGGGATGTCCACCTGCCAGTTTAGGCCCATTCCCAGAGTGATCAGGCTTAAGCCGAAGTCGGACATCCTTAGTGCTGCCGAGGAAGTGGGAGAGGCTCCTGCCACCTCTGCTGCATTCTCAGCCATCAGCCCAGCTTGTGCCTGAGCAGAGCTCCTCCTGTGAGAATGCACTGACCACCAGGGGGCAGATCCTACATTGAGAGTCTGCCCCCTGGTGGTCAGTGTGCATCATAACTATTGGTTGTTCTGCCATTAGGATCAATTTGCATGTTACCCTTTTATTATGTAGGATGATAGAAGAGAAGGAGAGGAGAGAAGGAGAGTGAAAGGAAGGTAGCATCTGGTTTCCTACCTTACTCAATTTTAGGGATTACTATGGAGATCAAATAAACTGTGAAAGGATTTTGAAAACAAGAAAGGGCCTTCCCAATATCAGTGAGGTTGCTTCAAGTTGCCAGACCTTACTGATTGCCTGCCAGGACCCTCCCACACCACCTCCCATCCTAATACTGGTGCTTAATGCTGCCCATCCTGGTGATTCTTGGCCTATGCAAATGGCTGAAATCTACCACACCCCTCCTGCCTCAAATACTCAGTCTCAGGCAGAAGATATATGGCTTCTGAACTGGTTTATGTTCTTATTTGGGGTATAAAAGGGGTTGGAGAGAGAGGTGCTCTATCTTCTGGCACTTCAGGTAGCTTTTGATTGAGGGTGGTGGGCAGCAACTGGCCTGGAAGTTTCAGATCATTCATTTGTGCTAATAGAGGAATCTCCTTCAAGGATGCTTTAGACCTAGGCAAAACCAAGAAATGTATTTCCAAGTAGAAGTGGTTGAGAATTATAGGTCATAAATGCCCGCAGGCAGGTCCCTCCTGCATGGAAGTCATTCTGAAAGAAAGAAGCTGACCAGAAAGAGAAATGGATGGGAGACACTGAGAAAAAAGGCTCCAATGGAACTGGCACTGCTCCTGATCTTTTCAATTTGGCTTCACATTTGTTTGTTTGTCTGTTTGTTTTCAGCTTAAGCTATTTAGTTGGAGTTGGGCTGTTGTCACTTGCAATCAAGAAGTCTGGCTGGTGGGGCAACGTTCAAGTATAAAACTCTGTAGACTGGATGAGTTTTCCAGTCTCTCTTTCTCTCACAGCTGCGGAGGCAATCCATCAGCAAATTCCCTTGGCTTTTTCTTCAGTGTTTCCAGGGTCCCACCACTTCTCAGTACACTAATCACTGTCATCTTTCCCCTAGGTTTTTGTCTCCTACAAGCTCTCTCTGATTCCACCTCTTCCTTCCTATATACTCCTCTCACAATGGCCAGTGATCCTTTTAAAATAGTCATTTCTCTAATCAAAATACTCCAGTGATTTTTTACCTCACTCAGAATAAAATTCCAAGTCCCTGTCATGGAGGCCAAGGCACTCCATGATTTAACCCTTCTGGTCTCTCTGACCTCATCTCCATTACTCTGACCCATGCTTGCTGCACTTTATTCATGCTGTCCCCTTTGATGTTCCTGGAACAAAAGAAATGCCTTCCCACCTTAAGGCTGAGCTGCCTGTGCCTGGAAGGTTTTTCTCTCAGATATCTGCCCATCCTTGTGTAGCCTAACTTCCCCTCACTTTACACACAGGTCTGGGTTCACGTCACCTTATCAGAGAGGCCATCACTGCTCACCCCACGGTATCATTCCAACAGCTCCTGCCCCATTTTTATCTCAGTCCTCCTTCCCCTGCCTCATTTTTGTATACCACTTACCAATATCTATCATTAGGTATGCACTTGTTTACCATCTTTCTCTCACTGAAAAATTGGCCACTGAGGGC